TTTTTTTATATAAATCATTCATGTATGTGTAGTATAATAAATATTTTTATTTACTCTTCATCTTTCACATTACTTTTGATTTTATCAACCAATGTTTCCTCATAAGAACCATGTATTTTAAATTGAAATATATTCTATAAAGGATTATTAAGCAATTTTTATCTACTTTCTTACTTCGATAAATTAACTTACGTTCATGAGAATTTATAAGTAAAAAATGTCTAAAAATGATACATTAGGAGCCGCGTACTCCTCGCTCACGCGGTGTTTATGTAAAGTAGTGGGCCGATATCTCTAAAATGCCCGGGCCGATTTTCGATCCCAGTCCGGGCCTGATGGTGGGTAGATACGAATTCCTCTCCTGGCTGATACCGACCCGCAGTACTGACGTAAAATACTCTCAGTGGGTAGAAATCAATGTGAGGTCCGACTAGGTTTTGTGGTTTTCTTCTCCATGTATCTCAAAAATCCCGGTGAGTTCTATCAGAAAGTCTTCCACGACGGTTTCTAATGCTTGAATCTGGAGTTTTCTAGTTTTCTGGATTGGGCTCGAAATACAAGGCTACGGAGTTGAATATTGAATATTGATAGTCAAAAACCCAAAAATGGGTCGGCTGTTCAGTGTCGGTTGTAAAATACATCCATCTAGAAATGCTTCCAGACGCAAAATGAAATAAATGTTAACGATACTGAGCAAGCATAGCTTGTTGTAAGATATAGTTGATCTACAATCTCATTTCAGAGAACATTTTCCTCAGTTAAGTGACCGTCGCCGGACGTTGAAGGAGACTGCTCTCATTGATCTAGGGGTGGAGAAGAAGTACAGACTGTGGCACGGAAAAGATTACGCCAATTTTATATGGAAGGATTTCGAGAACCTTAATGAACCTTATTCAGGTACTATACGGACTGGTTATATGATTGAGCATTTTAAATAAGTGGTGCACGGCTCACACTTCTGGTTATGAGCTGGAAGTAATGGGATCAACCTCAGTTTCTTTCACCCGGCAAATTGGAAGAGTCTGCAATATTATTTAAAACAGTCTGGTATTTTAAAGCTCATTGCAATGAGCCTATGACTCTCTATATCTAAAAAAAAAGCCTCCCTCGCCAGTCGTCCCGTCTAAAGAAATGTCGGTGACTATGATTACGTGTTTGAGTAGGGGTGTGGGATAAGCAGTTTGAACAGAGGCTGGTATGAGAAATATAAAAAGTGGTTTCCATAACTGCTGCGAGAGGAGCTGTTTAGGTAGGCTACGCACAAGCTTTTATTCTAAATAGAATCTTTTATTCAATTGCCTTGATTTATGACAGGCTGTTTGCGATAAACCTAGAGTAGGTAAAATTTATAATAAATTACCTTATTATTGCAATAAATCAAATCTTATTCGATCATTTCTGCCCTTTAATTTTTTTTATAAAATATCGTTAGTGTTTCCCGATAGGTTTCGATAAATGCGGCACCAAAACTATTTTCTCTTCTTTGCTAATGCTAACAACTCTAAAATAATATGAACAAATTAGTTTTTGTAAATGATATTGCAATAAGAATTTTATCATACAAAGATGCTCAATTTTGAATTTTTTGTCGCTTGCGTTGAATTTTAAATTGCACGGCAGCATAGGCTGATTGTAATAAGCCTACAGATTGTAATAAGCCAGACAGATTAGGAAATACCGAAGACTTTTTCCGATTAATTAGCCTGACTCAGTGGCAACATGTGCACTGAGATAAGCTTTTCAATTAGCCTACAACATGTACACTGTTGGTAATTAAAATCACTGCACCAGGAAATGATAATGTTCAGATTATGTAAGCAACAAGAGAGATTATGAAAAGCACGAGACAAACTACTGTAAAATGCAGATGACCACGTTCGCTGACGATATCGCATAATGAAATTATTTCATACAATTTGTGTCCATAAAGCAGATTAAGTGGTAGCAAGATGCATCCAACTATTTTCTGCAAACATAATGAACATAATAAACATAACTATTTCTGCAATAACGTAATGTGGCTTCAGGTTTATCCTTATATTACTGATCCTGTTTAAGACGCTTTCAGAAATTGTTACCAACCTACTCCCATTTTCTTAAAGACAATAAAACAACATCTACACTTTTCATTTTCTCCCATTCATTGCTCATTTTCTCTTCTCCATCTACAAAATGTTTCTTGATCTGAATTTGAATTTTATAAAATAATTAAATATTTAATAAATTTTTATTTTGAATTGAAGTTTTCTATGGGAAAAAATCAATCATAAAAATTGTTAAGATTTGCTATTGGCTAAGAATGTTGAAATTTGGCTAATACTTTTGATATTTGACTAATTTTCAGGCTAATAATACGAAGTCCTTAGACCTGACCCTGAATAAGCTCAGTGTTATTATTTCCTTTTTTACTAGAGTTCAAAAAAATCAATTGTAAGAGCAAACAGATTACCCCACAAAAGTCAGGAAATTTAGTATTTCGAAATCTTAAATCTCAGTTTTTAACTCGAAATCTTTAACAAATAACTATAATTGACATTGTATAAACACAAGGTAATCAATAAAATTCTTGGTGTTTTTTTTCCTTCTTTCTTTTTGCCATAGAATGAAGGGAGAAAAGACAAATCACGTGGTTTAAAGAAACATCGCGGTTGGTTGAGAGTAGGCATTATAAAAGCAGGTCCAACGCGCATTCTCATCAATCGTAAAATAGGGAAGACAAATGTGCAAGAAGTTCGTTCGGTACGATTTTGCTGAATATATTATATAATTTAGACCAGAAGATTATTGACAACAATAACAAATGAGCTTTTCAATGGCAAGGGGAAGTTAGCATAATTTTTTCACCGATATTTGAATTAGCTAAATAAAAATTTAATTTTAACCAATTTTATTTGTGTTTTCAAAAAAAAGGGGGGAGGGCGAAAGTAAACGGAAGAGCCAGATAAAATGTGCCGAATACTGAAAATCTTTGGAAGGCCCAGCGATCTAACATTACTTCACATCCCGTCGCCCGCGCTCCCAAGCCTTCAATACATTGGTTATTTTCCAAGATACAACCCCTCAAACGCAAGGCTGCCTATGCACGCACGCAAGATTATACTTTGTGTCTCGTGGACTCGTCAAGTTTGAGAGTCTACTAACGGCCCAAACCAACACCTCCTAGAAGAGAGAAGGCGGTCTAACGTAACGAACATAAACTGTGTAGTGGGGGTGTTAGAAAGACGTTCGGACTACTAAAGGATCGAATTTTTCGTTTACGGTAATCCGTAGGAAAGCTTAGGTGATGTTCACCAAACGGTCAGTGCTAACCTGTTTTCGCAGCAGCTGGAACATGTGCAACAAAAGGAGCCAGAACTGGTGAATCACAAATGTGTACTCTTCTTGCAGGACAATGCCTGACCGCACGTCACGCGAGTGGTTAGGGATACTATACAATGACTCGATTGGGAGACTTTGCACCACCCTATTACCACCTCTTCCACTCTCTGCACAATCATTTTCGTGGAAAATCGTTCACCCATAAAGCAGACTTACGAACATTTACTCACTCATAAAGTACTCACGAACATTTTTGCTTTCGAAACCCCCAAGTTTTACCTTAAAGCAATGTTTCCCAAAGTGTGGTACACGTACCCACAGGGGTACGGGAACAGTTTAGCTGGGGTACGCGTTCTTATGCGAAGTATCTTGCAACAAACGAAAATTTCAACAAATTTTATTTAAAAACAGAGCTAAGCATGAAAATTTACGATAACGTATTTTTTTACTGGCTATTTTTTTGCAGAGTTAACAGTTAATAATTAGTTGTGATTTTTAATTTTTGCTCAATTTTTTTATAGTAAAAAAATACATTCATTTTTTTATTAGTGGTACGCAGCGTTACGAAAAATTTAGAAAGGGTACACAAAAGTCATGCGTTTGGGAAACACTGCCTTAAAGGAATTGCTCAGCTGGACACATGTTGGCAGAAAATGTCGATGGAGATATCTTCCATAACAATGAATAGGTTGCACTTTCGGTAGGTCATTTTCTTTTATGGTCATTAGAAACGGAAAGAATTTAGGGGAGAGTCGGGTAGCCCCGCCCACGGTCAATTTCATATGTATAGAATATTTTTTCAAGTCAATGGGCCATCCGACATTAATTGTTATATTAAAAGAAGATTATTTTCAAAGTTTCAAGTATTTATGCAGCTGGTAACATGGTAAACAATAGTTTTGAAAATATGTTGAATACAGTAGTCATG